AAGTTCAAAGCATCTAAGAGGTGCGAGGCTATCGTATCTTACTTAACGATTCCTGCAAAAACGACTGGAAACGAGCGTCCTACGAACAATAGGCAACAGCGCATTCCATGGGTAGCGCGTGATTATATATGAAACATCCCTGTCAACGCAGACTGACCCATAAAAACGGGTAAAAGCAGGAGGATGGCATGGAAGGATCGCTTCGTCTGGCTGTAGGACAGTTCGTCATGTATTTTGTTGCATGGCGGTGTTATAGTAGACTTTGGGTTATAGGCTCGTTTTCTGTTCGTTGGCAACCCCCAGTCGACTATGGCATGAGTTCATGAAAGTGGCATTATTTTGGACTTTCTACCATTTAAAGAAAGATATTCAGGTACATTTAATCCTCTGAAAGAAGAATCCAAGACCTGAGTGACCGACATCACTGAGGATTGAAAATGACCCTCGTGAAAATTCACGTCATGTTTAAAACATGCGTAACCTCGCCATTTGAAATAAATGGATTTAGGTACGAAGAAATGCAAGGCTACGTCTATCTGAGACAGCTAACATTTGCAATGGAGAAACCACGCTGCGAAATCAGCAAAAGAGTAAACGTAGCATGAAACATTGCAAGAAGAATGAGGATATTCATATCTGGATAACCGTCCTAGTGCTTGAAACAGAAGGTTTTCCATCGATCAATGTGTTCTTCCATTCCTAGTGTATGAATTGAAAACATAAATCCTAAATTTGAGGATTACTCATAAACTACAGACTACGCAATGCATCATCAGAGGGTCAGTCTTTCAAATATCAAGAAGAATGAGAAATACGATACTCGACGTTGTTGCAACAGCGAGAAAATCAAAGTGACAACAGGCAAGACACGATGCAACATAAACAGATATTCGCTGCACCAAAGAGATATTAGAATGAGCTCAAAGGACGGTAGAAGAACGGCATGGAGACCTCTCAATCGACGGCACAAAAACTAAAAAACTATTGGAATAGCGAAGAGAAGATTCGTGGAAGCAGAACTTTTGTGGCAAAAACTTTGAAGAGGATTTCCTCCATTATTGGATCGCAAAAGCCTCAGATGAAAATGAGTTGTTTCTGTGTGACTCTGTCTGCATCCTTATCGCATAACGACTGTCTGTCTGTCCCCCGTAAAAAGCAAACAGAAGCAATAGTCTGTTTTATACTTTATGCGGGTATAAGGTAACACGCTCACGCTAAGAGACGATAATCTGAACAACAGGAACCGGACAATCAATCGCAGACATTTATGTCTTTCGTTTTTTTTCCACGAGAGGGGCAATAGCTTCATCTCAACGATATACGCGTAAATGCAGTATCAGATATTAAGTGAATTTTAATAATTAATACACAACAATAAGTATTCCGTTTTCACAAGTTCTAATCGCGGAAAGCAGGCAATTAGTTGAATAAGGGATCGTGACCAGGAGTTAGTCGGCGGAATCTACCGAGGAGAAAATCCATGGAGGGTTTTTATAAACCTTGAACTAAACAGAAAGTGCCAATCATGAGTTTTGCACGCTTGCTCTTGCCTTAGAGATTTATCTAAGCCGAAACTAGGGTCTCACTTCAAAGCCGGAAGTGGGGATTGGGACAATCATTAACCCATATCGAAAGCGTGATAAAAGATTTCGTGGTTCCATGTGATCTCCAAAAGAAAAATGACAAAAGCAGATCATCTGGAAAATGTTTAATAGGCGTTATTGGGAAACAGAAAGACAAACATGCCCCCCTCCTCAGATGAATATCCATCTTAGTATCGTGTGCATAATGAAGGCTTGAAAATCTAGATGAAATAGAGCGTTGCACTAGCGTATATCAATACCGTCGTATGTTTCTGAACACAGAATGAAATTAGTTATGGCCGCACTGCTGTTAGGAATAATTTGTGGAGAAGGCAATACCGATTCTTTTCCTGTTATGTGCTTGATTTCATTCTGGCTATAATATGGTCGCATGATTGACGCAAAGCTGAGCATCACATTAAAACTTGATAGTTTAGACACACCACTCTTGTGGCACGATTCTGACCTGTTGCCGTCTTGCCCGGTCCTTGCAGTTGCTTTTGTGCCATTCTGCAAAACAGATCTTGTTCTCTAACGCTCTCCTATGTTTGCTAGCTCACTACATCGGTGTTGGATTTAATTTGTATTCGTTTATGTAAATCTTGTTATCATAAATGTTCTCTAGATTGTGTGCACGTGATAATGACATAAAAAATTTTCAAAATTGATTTTAAAAAGTTTAATATTAAACACACACCTACTTCCGTTCATGTCATAAGTACTTAGTAGAATCAAAGCTCAGCTGCGTTTGCGCTAAGGTGTCAAACAACGTTTTAGACGACACAGTCAGCAGTGCTTTCCAGGCGTCACATAGTTCAGGGTCATTCGCATGTCGTTCTTGAAATACGACGGTCATTGTTTCAATGACCTCCTTTAAATAATGCAGGCGTTTCGAACCGAAGCTTGAATTCGCTGAACTTACCTGAAACTTCTTGAAGCCGACGTGCTGTTTCATGAATTGTGCGTGGCGAGATTCCTCATGGCTTTCGTCACATACCTCACAGTCGATGTTATTTTGATCGATGATCCTCAAAAGTGTCTCGACAAAGGTGAACGACAAGCTGTTCAGTTCGTGCGAATAAATTACGTCGATGTCTGACAGATGTCTGATCCTCGGAAACGATGCTTTGTACTGCGGACGATTCTGCAACGTCCTGAAAGTATCGATTTATGCAAATCTGCTGACTCCTTTTCATAGAACATCGAACCGGATGTACGAACGGCTTATGGTTTGGAGCAGCTCATTGAACGTCCCTCTGCAGAGTCTGTTCCAAGTGGTCACCGACAGGATAATAGACTGAATTATTTTAGCTTAACTTTGAACGACTGTTGCGCAGGGTGATCATAAGCAAACCAGAGATAAACTATGAAATCTGAAATGCCAGAGGCAAAACGATCATTGCCATTTCAATGTTTATTTTTATTTACTTTAAAGATTTACCAGCCGGAGATTAAATTCCACGAGTACTGAAATAGATGACAAGGTCACCATCGAAAGAAGTATAGAATTATACCATCAAACCGAGCAAACGGTACCCATGTCATATGATACGTCGGAATGGCTGGAGTTCGCGATTGGTCGCCGAGGCAAGAAAAAGTGGTCACATTTCATGAAGCACTGAAAATGTACACAATAATGGGAAAACTTCACTGAAGGGAAAGTTCACTGCCTGAAATTGAAGACCAAGACGCCGTGCTTTCTAAACGGAACATGAATGATGAATACACGTCAGGGGTTCATGCAGAAGACTATGTCGATTAATGCAAAGCTCTTCACAAACCAAATTACACTGTTGTGTTTGTTACATCTGCATACGTAGGGGGCAACACTAGGCAACCTCCGGTCCATGGTATTTAAGGAGTCACAATAATAGATACAACGGGGTAATTTCTTTGCTGAAACACTGTTTTTCTTATCGCACTAATGTTTTATGGAAGTATATAAGGAATATTGATTTTTGAAAAATCCTCGGTGACGAACAGCGGCTGTATCCCGTAAATTATATCTACTTCATCTTCAACCTCGCAGATAGCATGAAGTGACTAAGCTATGTACTGGATTGCTTGATAAACTGAGATATGATAATGTGTTTGCATGCTGCGAACCTATGAAACGATAACCTGAACAGACAAAGTTTCAAATGTTGCGTAAAGTGGTTTTCTCTAGAAGAAAGACGCGAACGCTGATCGCAAACCCTGAGGGAAACATTAGAGATCACAGTGTCAATTAGCCCTCAAACCAAAATCGTAGCCAGCAAAATGCAAGAAATTAGTTAATGCAGATATTCAAACACAATATATCCCTATATGACTTAAATGAGCCCAAAGGTGCCTGGGAGAAAGAGGTCAGTGGAATCCGCCATGAAGCCTCAAAGTTGAACAATTACGCAGAAGATAAAATTGTATTTGTTCACAATCATATAAATTTATGTAAAGACTTGAGATCGCTGACCTTACGCGTCTCGACATGGTCCAGGATAGTGATATCCGGAAGAGCCTTGGAATACAGTCTTTGCTTCTACAGATTGAGAAGTCACAGCTGCGATGGCTTGGGCACGTGTTGCGAATGCCTCCAGAAAGGAAGGCTAAGC